CAGGGACGGTCCTGCTTAAAACCCTCTCATCCCAGCTCCCCTGGGTGTCTATCTGTCAGTCTCCAGCAGCCCTTCTCTCCCAGGAGCTCTTCACCCTGCAGCATGCAGGAGCAGATTGCCTGCATGGGCTCAGGGACTGGGCTTATGTGCTCCAAAGCCCCACCCCTTCCTGGCACGTGGCTCTCCAGCCATGCAGGGGTTTCTACTTGGGCTGATGGCCAGTTCTGGAGCTAGGGCTGGAGCTGCTGCTACTGCTGCTGTAAAGCTGAGTGGGCGCCAGTGAGACTGTGCCCCATGCTATGGGCCAGAACGGGACAGAGGTGGAGCTGCGAAGGGTAAATGGCAGATGGGAGAGACAGGCAGAGGTGACAGTGGTGGCAGCAGGTGGTGGAGGGGATGGGTGCAGGGGGCTGTGGCTCCAACTCCAGCCCCAGGTGAGGGCTGGAGTTGGAGTCACAGCAGCCACCTTCCCCCCTTTTGCCCCCACTTGTACTTGATTCCAAAATGAGGAGCTTTTCCCCCTCATGTTAAATGGGGAAAACACCTCATCTTGGATTTGACTAATTACAGTAATTAGAAAGCACAGTGCCTACAGTTGTGATTGGCTCCTATTCTGCATTAGATGGTTCTCTTCAAGAGCCTATTACTGCAGTGAACCTGGACAGGAAGCAGCCACAATTTGACTGCAAAGTCTGGGAGACTGGCTACCACTGTTAATGTGTACTAGTGTAGAGGGGACCTATAACTATTTTTTTGCCCTGGATGGGCATTTAAAGTTGAAAGTCCCATTAGCAAATGAACCGAAAGCCTTAAGGTACAGAACTCCTTGGAAGAGTTCACTCTGAGAACTGCCCCTCCCCTCATTCCCCTCCACCTCTTCCCCACCAGGCCCAGGATCTTCTGGAAAAATATCAAGGTGGGCATATTGAGAAAGAAATGTGAAAGAAAAGCTTTCCAAGAAAATCTAGACAAAATAACTCTTTTAAACAATATAAGCATCCACACCAAAATCATAGGTTAAAAGTATAAAATTCAGAGAGCTAGCAAGAGAAATTAGACACATGTAGATTAATTGCTCATCATTTTGGAAATGATGTCCTTCATAGTATTTATTATGTATTTGAGAATGGGCACAACTTAAAGGGACTTGGAAGAAACAAGTTATCTGCTTGTCCAGTTTTAGCAAAGTGTTTGCGTGCATACGTCATGCTGAAAATTTACCCTTACATTCCCCCACTATATGTTTGTTCTGTAGTCCAAAGGCCACTAAAAACAGAAAGCTCCATTTTTTTTACCAATGCAAATTACCATCTTCCAGAGGCAAATATTTATTTCATTTTAAATAATTTTAAATAAGTGGTCACCTTATACTTTTTAAAAAATAAGTTATACAACTGCATGAGCTGTTCCTTTATTTTACTAACTTATGCTTTGTGCTGCATTGGAAACAAGGCTAGTGGATGCAACTCCTCTCCAACAATAACTCTAGAAAAGCTGAATATTATTGCTGGCATGAATATGTTGTGTACTGAGGTAGCAAGATATAATGAAAACTTCCACTGTTCATTTGGTAAATATTTGCAAAGCTGTTTGGTAAAGTTATGCAGTGAGAACTTGTCAAATGTATAAGTTCGTAAAAGTTTTATTAGTAGGGCTGTTACTTATATGGGATTCTTTGAAACAAAAAATGCTTCCAAATGGGAAATTTTAAATGAAATCGTCCATTTTTTAGCATTAACAGCTAGGAAGCACCCAGAAGATCAGCATGAAATTGGTCTGAAACATTGGGAAGAAGCTGATGAGAAGGCGGAAGACAGCGAGAGAGGTCAAGAAAACTTAAGAGAAGAGAAAGAGAGAGATCCTGAAGAAAACAAACTAGAGGAAGCAACATGCAAGTTTGATAACATCACTGACAATTTATATGCCAGCATACATGATGATGATGATGATGTTGTTGATGATGATGATGGTGAACATGAAGTGGGCAGAAGAGACTCCTTTCTCTTTGACAGGCCACCTCTACCTCCTCGAGAGCCTGCTGCTACTCAAATATATACTGATCTTCACTCCTTTATACCAGGTATAGTCCTGAGAGAAAGCATTTCTTATGTATGGTGAAGATAAGATGCTGCTGTAGAGATTTTATACAATTATTGTTAATGATAGTTGGCTGGTCAGTAAGGCCATACGCTTAAGTACTTTGAGTGGAGGCCTACATCACCAGAAGCTGTGGCTAGATTTGTGGGGGTGGTAGAGCAAAGGTTTCAGCAATAGATTTCACATCAAGAGATTATACACTGATGTGGGAAATTTAGGATTATAGGGAAAGGCTGCAAGCATAATACTGAGTTAAGTTTTTAGTTGAGTTGTATATAAATTGTTATTTTTAAGACATCAAATATTACCGGGGCACAACTTACAATACCACCAGTAGAATTAATAGCATTTGTGTACTTTACTGGGGAAAGTAACATAATATTAAGTATAAGGTTTAGCCAATGCAGTGATAGAAATATAGCAATATGTTCTACTGCAGACTAGAACATCGCTTGTGGTAAATGGCTGACATCATAGCCTTAATAAGTTGCTGTACTTACCACACTGACTATTTCTATTTAAACCTGACTCATGGGACAAAAATCTAAGACTAAATTTCCTAGTTTGCCTTTTTTTTGTATAAAGGCAAAAATGCCAGATGGCAATTCCCCCTGGCACGGGAGAAAGAAGAGGAAAGGGTTCATCTTTAAATGATAACCTTAGTGTCTGTAAAGGTTGAAGAACCTTTCCTGTTAAAGAACCACTTGTTCAGAGTATTCATATAAGCATAACAGTAAGAGAGAAAGATTTGGCATGAAGGGTTTGTTGCTGGAAGTTTGGAGTTATGCTTAATCGTGCTTTGATCTTAGTCTAATGGAAAACGAACACAAATATAAGTACAGGGGTGTAGGTTGTAGCCGTGTTGGTCTAAGGACACAGGCAGACAAGGTTCTTTGGGTGAATCTGATTAGACCAATTTAAATAGTTGGAAAACAATTATTAAGCAAGCTTTCAGGTTCAAAAACCCTTCGTCAGGCTAAGGAAGCTTCAGCAGTTGGTGTGTGCTCTTCCTGGATGGAATGAAAAGTGAAGAAGCCAGTGGCTGGGCTGGTATGCATACAAGATAGGCAGTCAGTGAAGATGTAGATTGAGGAGTCAATGGGTGAGAGAGAGGCTGAGGGAAGGGGGTGGGGAGAGAAGGGGGATGAATAGTGGAGAGATACCTGGGGAGTCAGATGTCAGGCAGGTTATAATGTGTCATAAATCCAATGTCTATATTTAGTCCAGGATTTTTAGTGTCCAGGAGGCTGATGAAGTGGAGTTCATAGGCCCATCTCTGGGAAGTGTTTTGTAATTTTCCTTTGAGGATCAGGACTGAGAGATTGGAGAGAGAGTGGTTTTCTTGTGAGAAATGTGCCCCCACAGGTATTGGGTATTCGTGTCTTTGATACATTTCCGGTGTGCGTTCATTCTGGTGCGCAGTTGTTGTTTGGTCTCTCCTATGTATTTTCCGTCAGGGCATTTGGTGCACTGGATGAGATATATTACATTTCTGGAGGTGCAGCTGTAAGATCCGGGAATACTAATGGCTCTGTTGTGGGGTGTAGTAATTCGGTGCTTGTTTGAAGGCTAGGATGGGTGGCTCTGGGAAGATCTTTTTAAGGATAGGGTCTCTTTCTAGTATGGGTTGCAATTTTCATCCTAGACTTCAAACAAGCACCGAAACTCACTAACCTCATCACCAGAAGCAAACTTCCTCAAGCCCAGAACACACCAAAAAGATCCAGACCGTGCCATGACAAGAAATGCAAAACCTGCCAACACATCTCCACCACCCCCACTATTACTACACCCCACAACAGAGCCATCAGCATTCCTGGATCTTACAGCTGCACCTCCAGAAATGTAATACATCTCATCCAGTGCACCAAATGCCCTGATGGAAAATACGTAGGAGAGACCAAACAACAACTGCGCACCAGAATGAATGGACACCAGAAATCTATCAAAGACAAGAATACCCAATACCTGTGGGGGCACATTTCTCACAAGAAAACCACTCTCTCTCCAATCTCTCAGTCCTGATCCTCAAAGGAAAATTACAAAACACTTCCCAGAGACAAGCCTATGAACTCCACTTCATCAGCCTCCTGGACACTAAAAATCCTGGACTAAATATAGACATTGGATTTATGACACATTATAACCTGCCTGACATCTGACTCCCCAGGTATCTCTCCACTATTCATCCCCCTTCTCTCCCCAACCCCTCCCCCCAGCCTGTCTCTCACCCATTGACTCCTCAATCTACATTTTCACTGACTGCCTGCCTTGTATGCATACCAGCCCAGCCCCTGGCTTCTTTACTTTTCATTCCATCCAGGAAGAGCACACACCAGCTGCAGAAACTTCCTTAGCCTGATGAAGGGTTTTTGAACCCAAAAGCTTGCTTAATAATTGTTTTCCAACTATTTAAATTGGTCCAATAAAAGATATCAGATTCACCCAAAGAACCTTGTCTACAATATAAGTAGGCAGCTAAGTTCATATAAATCTACAGAATCCAAATGGTTGACACTACAAGGATAATGTAGAGTTCTTCTAAGTTTATTTCTATATGAATACTTAATTTAAAACATTCGGTGTTCTCATGAAGTAATAACTTTGATTTAACATTTCAGCGGTGGAGGGGAGGTGGAGGAAAGAAAATATCAGGATCTTTCTCTAAACTGGGATGATGTCTTCTTTTTTAAATTGTAATGATTCATTCCTACATGTTTTTAGTCAGCTATTTACTATAGGTATTGCTCTGGAATAGCTAAGAGACATACTGGAGCCTAGTTGTTTTCTAGAGACAGTTTCTTTTGACAGGGACATGAGTGCCCCCTGTAGGAGTTCTGAGAATAAAAAGCCCATCAAGAGAAATGTTTCACTTCTCTTTCACTTTAATTATGTGAAAGTAGAATACTTTTCTCATTGTATACAAAACGTGACAGACTTTTTTTATGAATTACATTTTATTTTTCTAAATATATTTTTCCAGATAAGCCAGAGATCACAGCACATATATCTAGTACAAGGGCATAGTAAAACTACCAAGACTTCCTCATGTTATCCCCTGGAGAAAATAAATAAAACAGTTTATTCCAAACAGCAACAGGAGGGTTTAACGCAGTAATAATTACATTATTACCAGATATGAACATATGCTTATGGAGAGAATCATAGCAATATAAAGGGAATATCCATTCACAACAGAAAGCTTCAAGGTAAGCATCAGTTGCTTGAGAGTAGGCAACCAGCACAACAGCACTGGGCAAACATTTGTCCTGTTGCTAAGTACAGTTATGCCATCTACCCAATTAAAAAAAAGACCCAGTAGCTTAAAAAATGAGAAGTCCACCTGCTGCTTTTTCCATATCACTCTCTTCAGCTGGACCTTCTTTTGACAATCTGCTGGGGGGTGAGTATTGTTTTTAAGGCCCCTGCTATGTGTTACATGGATTACCCAATTAACTGGTTAATCACAAAATAAATTTAGCCAAGCCATACACGCAAAGTAACCCCAGCCACAAATGCAAAGTAATTATCACTCCATAAGAATGACTGTCCAGCTATAAATAGAGCCAACCAGCTACAAAATTAACACTTGAAAATGTGTAACAATGCTATAGCTCAGGGTTGGGCCAAAATACGGCCTGCGGGGCCATTCCATCCAACCTGCGGGGCCCCTAAAAATTTAGAACATTAATATTTATCTGCCCCTGACTGCCTGTCAAAGATGACAGGAGCCAAGGGCAACAGGAACCAGGAGGGCCAGTGGCAGAACTAAACAGC